GCCTTTGATGCCCCCATGTACCGGCCCTGGCTCACCTCTCAGTGGGGACACCAAGCAGCCCAGGGAAAAGAGCCTGGCCTTGGTATTGGCAGATCTTGTTTTTTAATCCCAGCTCTGCCATTTGCTCTTTACTCAACTTCAAGCAAGTTACTTCAATTCCCTAAGCTTCAGTAAACTCCCTTGAAAAATGGGAATAATAATATCTCTCTTGCTAGGTTATGGGAATTCAATATAATGCCCAACACAGTGGGTTGGCACAGCTCATTTATATTTTCATTCCTTTGTTCACATAAGTCCCCTGATTGGAATGCCCAACCCCCCACCCTACTTCCCTGGGGGGGAAAAAAAAATCTGTCTTCCAAGGCAGGTCTTAAGAGAACCTTCTCCCTGAAAATTTTCTATATTCACTACAATGCATAGAAATAATGTCTCTGATTGGTGAAAACTGTGTTTACCTCAGAAAGGAAATCTTTGACCAAGGAAATCATACAGCTTTGGAAAATGATTTTTTTTTCTTTAAAAAAAAAAAAAGGAAAAACATACCTTCTAGATAGGAAAAAAGAGAGAGAGTGAAAAACTTCCAGAGATTAAAAAAAAAAAATCACTGTGGCAGAACTCCCTCACATTTGGCCCAAACTATTTCCCCTTACCCTAGAATTTATAGAATTCATCTGTACTGCTCAATCTCAGAGCCATTTTTTTCATCAATCTTTCTTTGATTATGTCATTTACACAGCTCTTTCTCCTCTACCAGTCTAGAAGCTCTTAACAGAGAGAAGAAATGTAGTCTCTTATTTTTTATTCCTATAATAGCATCTACAACTGTTAGTCCAAATTATTTTTAAGATCTCAATAATACTGGTAGAAGGATAAGTAAGTGGGTGGATAGGTGGATGAGTAGGTGGATGGATGATAAACTTTTCATGTTGGGTTCACTTAAAAAGAAAATTTTTTAGGGAGTCTGGGTGGCTCAGTCATTAAGCACCTGCCTTCAGCTCAGGTCATGATCCCAGGGTCCTGGGATCAAGCCCCGTGTCGCACTGGGCTCCCTGCTCGGCGGGAAACCTGCTTCTTCCTCTCCCACTCCCCCTGCTGTGTTCCCTCTCTTGCTGTGTCTCTCTCTGTCAAATAAATAAAATCTTCAAAACTCCTAAACCTTATATAGTATATGAAATCAACAAATATTAATTGAGTGCCTAGTAAGCATCAGACACCGCACTAACAATACACTTGTGGTCCTGTCCTACAGAGATTATCAGTTATGCAAAACAGAAAGCCTAACAAACACGTGCAAAAGAGAAAGAGGAGTATAAAACTGAGAAAAGGATAAGCTGCCTATGGGAACAGGCAGAAGCGCTCTGAATTAGGTCAGAGGATAAAGTAAGACCATGTAGAAGAAAAGCTACTTAAGCTAAAATTTGACTTCTGAGGAGGTCAGTGGGATTGTGTGGGAGAAAGACTTGGGCATGGAGACAAACAATTTTCTGAGCAGAGCAACAGCATGTGCGAAAAGGCTTAAAGAGAGTGTCAGTATATGTGATGCTAACAAGGAATTAAAAAAAAAATTCTGTGGTTGAAGGTTGAGTGGCGAAGGGGAGGGGGGCACAATAAGAGAGATGCAGGTCAGGAGACTCTCACAAGCGAGGAAAGAAATTTATACTTTATCCAAGGGAAAAGGGAAAACAGTTGTGCGGATTGCAAATGCAGGATTGTGACCAGCTTGGATTTTTATGGGTGTAAAACTTGAATATGGTTTTGTAAGACCTGGCATGCACTCTTGCATGCTGTAACACAGTCTAAGCACGTAATACGGGGTGTGAAAATGGCAGCTGAGTGTCTGGACTTGACCTTTCTCCAGGAAATCTGGGTAGGACTGTCTGAAGCATAAAGTGTCATGAAGGAAGAAGGTACACCATGCCTCCATCACTGGGTAGCAGTACAACAGAGACGTGTCCAGAATGGTGAGGGTGACACCTCTCCTCAGGTAGTGTCAGAGAGCAATAGAGACAAGCAAAGGGATCCCATGAGATTGTCCTACTTTCATGTAAGAATTGCCCTAGCTTCCATCTCTAGAGCTGTTCCTTCAGAACCCTACTGGAAACAGTCATTTATCCCGGTGTCTGCATGGGGTCAGGCCGGCATATGGCAACAAGCCTGGCTGCGGAGTCAAAGGGGCTTAAGGTGATCTGTTTTACCCACTTTACTACTTGTGTCACCTGGGGCTATGCACACCATCTCCCTGAGTCTCAGCCTTCCCAACTTTCAAAACATGGTGACAATTACTACCTCGGAGGGTGTTTCTGAGAAGAAAGAGCATGTGTGAAAGGCACCTAGCATATCCCTTAGCATAACAGTAGGTATTCAATAAAAGGTGGTTCTTGCTGGGTGGCTATTGGCTCCATTACCTCCCAGCACCAGGCCATGGAAGAAAAAATAAGGACTAGGGAAGGGAGAATAACGAGAAGTTTGCTCATTAAGCGTAGGTGCCTTGGGAGCTACTTTGTTGAATCTGAATTCCTTGGGTGGCAGAAAGTAAATAAATGTTCTTAGCTTGAGGATATGTGTTTGGCTCTTATTTCACAGTTGACATTCACACAGATACCAGGAATATGACTGCTAATTAAGTGTTCATTGAGTAGCCTTTTTTTCCCCCTGTAACAAACATATAATTAAGATGTCAGGGTATGCATGTACACCCACTCTTGTGGGGGTGTGTGTATGTGTGTGCGTAAAGAGAGAGAATTCCTCTATAACAGAGTCATAGACTGAGGAGTTAGAAGGTCCTTCTGTTAGATACCACTAGTTTATTAGGGTAATTCCAAGGCCAGATAACAGTAAACTCATTCTCCCTTCAATGTTGCTAATCTAACTCTATTTAAATACATGATTTGCTACCTGAATACTGCTTTATAGATTTGAATGAGGGCCAAGTGAGGACTGGATGCTTGTGTGTGTCTGATGCTCTCTCCTTTTCCTCTTTCAAATCTCGTCTCAGCCGACACTCCTGCTCCCTATGGAAGCAGTTGATTCCTAAGACCCAAAATAGGTAACTGTCCTGTAAGTTGCTGCTATTAGAGAAGTTCTAGCCAAATGAGCCAATGAAGACACATCAGCCAAATCTGTAACTATGTGTGATTCAGAGGGGGCTTCCTTTAAATTCTATGAAGACAGACAGCACTCAGAACATATTTGTTGAATAATTTGTTTGAGAAAATTAATGCCATACTTATATCTGAGTTTGTTACTTACCACGATGTGCCATGCCCCGTCAACACCCAATCCTTCCAACAGCCTCTGGAAATTCCCAGAGGCTGTTAGAAGGTGTATCAATAAGTCCTCTCATTTTATAAAAGATGCAGATTATCACTTGCTACAACTACCCAAAAGCAAGAGCCTAAAATAATATGAAACAAGAGGAAGAAATTTATATTGACCTTAATTCCTCTTAAGAAAAAAGCTGTGTTCATTTAGGAACAATTCCTGAGGATAGAAAGTGAGACCCCAGTCCCACGTTGCCTTAAATTGGGTGAAACTATTCCACCTTAGACAAGAGATGATGACTGTATCCAGAAGGGGAGATGAAAAGAGAGAAGGGACATAGTGGGATACTGCATACTCTGCAAGGTGATTCTTTCTTGCAACCCTCCCACATCTTCAATAAAGTTGTTAAAGCTCACTGAAGCCTCAAAAAAATATATTTTTATGGAACTCAGTGAAAGATTTTGTACCACGTTTTGCATGGGGTGAAACCAAAGCAATAAGCTTGAGAACAGGGGACTGGGGAGGAGTTGTAAGGAGAGAAGCGTGAGGGTGGGAGGGAGAATGCTTATTCCAGAGCACTGGAGTTGGATTTGGGTCCAGTCTTACCAAACCTTTATAGGACAGGTGGCTTAGGGCACATGGGTAACATAAATTTCTTACTAATTGCCAATGAATGTAAATTTATCTACTAAAAATCTTACCTACAAACTATACCCAGCACTTACATTTATGAAGTTACATGCTCTAAAGCTCTGCTGCTTGAATGATGGGCATCCACAAGCCATTTCAGAAGAATGGTGTCACGTGGAAAAAAAAATCTTGCTTATGGGCAATCCCTAAGTAATTTTCCCTTAATTGATTAAAGGACATCCATTGCTGATCTTCACTAGACCCCAAAAGAAACTCCAGCTCTCCTGAGATCAGCAATTGGCTACCGGGGGTTAGTAGAAAGAATTACTATATGAAAAGTCTCTATTCATTCACTATTCAACTACATTGTTGTCCTCAAAATGTTTCCAGCAAGGACAGATCAGCAAACCTTCTAACAATAACTTTATTTCCAGTCCTTCCCAACAGAAAACTAGCCTGTGAAGCAGACCACAGAAGTGTACTGCTGATTAAAGATAAATTAGGCAACTTTCTTTTCAAGTGTTGTCTGATCATCCCTCTTTAATGCCATCACTTAGCGTGACAAGGTGCAAGAGCCAACAGTCGGCAACACAGTGCAGGTTAGTGAGTCCAAAACCAACCCACCCGATAAAGAAGGGCAGAGGAGAACACAGTAAAGAAGGAGAAAGGAAAATACGTTCTGTGGACTGAATCAATTTACACCCCCGACAGGTCTTAAAGCTGATGCCCTTTTTTCGTAGAAATCTTAATAACACAAAGTTTCCAGATAAAGTACTGTCCATGTAAATCCTGAAATGAGTACAATTTGTCATGGAGTAGTAACATTAATAGACACGGAAACCCTCCTTCAGTGAGGATATAAATTGGGACACCCTTCTCCAACCAAAGATGAGTCAAGCAGGATGATTTTTCTCTTGTATAAAATAACAGTAGAATAACCTACATATCTCTTGGATCAGGAATGGTTTCTAGAACTTATTTGTTTATTAGCTCTATTCCAAGTCCCAGAAATAAAAATGAACTTTCCCTTAGGGCCCACCTGCTCCTCAGTGCTCTTTAATCCACCCTTGTCCAAGCGGCTGAAAAGGAGAGGAAGACAGTAGACTCACCATTTGATTGTTGTACCAGTATAGCGACGTTCCCTTCAGCACTACCCAGAACTTTTTCCATTTGTTGCTCAGGAAAGTTCCTTTTTCTTTTTTCTTATACAGCCACCCTTGGCAGTCAGCATGTCCCAGGTCTTTACAGGATATCCTCCTCCGACTCATCGTGAAAAACCCTGCAACAATTATATGAAGAGGTAGGTAACATATTACCCTGGTGTATGTGACAGAGTGAAAGGTAACTGTTAATTGTTTACCTCTTGGGAGTTGGATTTTTTTACCAAGATTTATGCACAGTAAATGCAAAAAAAAAAAAAAAAAAAGGCTTGTTTCTTTATTTTATTTTTAAGCATTCATTTGGTGCTTAGGAGGTACAAGATAGGACCAAAGAAACAGTGAGACTAGAATGCAAGTGTTAGTCTAAGAATATTATTCAGCAAGAATAAGTTGAAATAAATGAAAATCGTGAGGCTGACAGGCACATCATTGCACTAACACAGCTCCTTCCAAAATAATAGCAGTCCTTATGCAACAGATGGAGAAGGGTTAATGCCCACCGAAACACAGCCACTTCCCCACTCAGTGCCGGCTTTTCTGAGCTTTATTGACATACCCCGAGGGATTAATCCAAATGAACAGCATGCCGTCATTTCTTAAAATCGATCCAAAAATAACCAAAAATTTAATCTGCCATCCACCTTCTGATATTAGCATTAAGACGGACAAAAATCTGATCCCAAAGAAGGCATCGGACAGAAAACCCTCACTCATGCACACAAAAAGGGGATAAAGAAACAAAAGAGATCTAATTACCTTGAGTTTTCCTTCTCTGCTTCTGACGCAAGGGAACCTGCTGATAATGCAGGAAGGAAAGAAAAGAGGAAATTTCTGATTGTGTTGTAACATTTGTAAAGAGAGAAGGAGGGAGGGGGTGGCAGTGTTTATGAGCAGGATGGAAGCTAAAAAAAAACTCTCCAAGCAGAGCTAAAGGGGAGCTACTTGCTGAGGCACAAAATGTGCTAATTAGAATCGACATACACTGAGCTGAACCTGAAGAAAGATACAAAGATGCGTAACTCGGCATGTATCACTAATGTTTCCTGTTTCCACCACAGACAGCTTTCGTGCTATCACTTCAGTTAGGACAGGATGATGTGCACTTAAGTTCTTAAAAATAATGATATATTTCCCCTTTGATTCTGTGTGTATGTGTGTGTGTGTGTGAGAGAGAGAGAGAAGGAAAAAACCAGATCCTGCTTCTTCTCCTGCAATTTCTAAATAACACCAATTATTTCAATGAACCGGGAAGATAATTGTGATCTCACAATATTACAGGTTCACATCAGATTATTAAATCCATGGCCCTGCCCCCACATAGGGTGATACCTAAACCACATGAATTAAATATCCCAGAAAAACAAATTCCACAACCTCTTTTGGTGACATCGAAGTAAATATCAACCCTCCTTATCAGGAAATTCTTATCTACAGCCATATTTAAATTACTCATTCTGTCTTTAAGCATCTCTGAATATTTCTCACATGTTTTACAGAAGATAAATTAATTTCAATTTCTATTTTATACTAGCTCTTCAAATATTCAAATCAGACATAAGATAACATATCTGAAGTACACATCTTTCACAATACATTTTAAACAATTTGTGTCAGATCACACTATCAGCAAAAATAGATAACAAAAAAAAAATGCTTTCAAATGACCCTGTGTGTGTGTGTGTGCATAGAGAGAGACATTTTAGATTAAAGGAGTTTCACTTTTTCTCCACAATATCTAAGCTGAATTTACTCAGATTTAAAAGACTTAATCTTATATGTTAACAAGTAGAGAATTTGAAAACACTGTGATAATTGCAGAGCAGGTCTCATAAGTTGGCATGCAGTCATACTACAACATTTTAAAATGTTATTGTAGAGGTACTTGGCTACTAGTCTACATATCTAACTATTGATCTAACACAGCTATTGTATATGGTCCTATATGTGTGAAGAGGGAATACGACACAGGGGTAATAGGATGGGATTTGTAAATCCGGAGGCCTGAAATAAACTCCTTGCTGTCATAATTAGTAGCTGTTATTATGCAGGGAAAAGTTGATTTACCACTCAGAACCCACTTCCTCATTTGTAAAAGCAAGATATTTCTAATAATTCCAATCCTATGGGTCTCATAGATAGTCAACAAGATTGTATGTGAAAATGCTCCAAAAACTAAAAAACATTATATGACTATATGTCATATAATATTATATTATTACAGATATAAGCAAATACTTCACACTAATAAACAAAAGTTTCAGCATTTTTAGGATAAGTAGGACTTGTATTTCCTTCAGCAATTATGATGAAGTCAATGGGCTTAAATTATATTTCCTGGGAAATCTCATACTGACTTTTTTTTTTACATATGTTAGAAAGAAATTTTATCCCTGAAGGAATCAATCATCCTTGTGAGACACAGACAGAACAAAAGCAGTAACTGCCCTAAATTTTAGGTAAGAATAGAGTTATTACAGTCATGACGTGTGACTAAAGTTTAGGCATATGATTACGCCAGGGTCCTAGTCTCAGCTCCACTTCCCCAAGTCTCTCCCACCCTGACCTGCATCTTGGTCTGAAATTCCCACCATTTCTTCAAATGGTCTCCTGGGGTCTTTTTACTATGCAATTACCTGAGATCAGGGAAATCGGTTAGTACCTACTCAAAAATTTTAGCCCAAATACATATATCATTTGGACAGTTAAAACTTAGGTAAGATCCAGGACTAAAGGCAAAGAAGAGAGTAAATAAATTTAGACGTGGGAACAGAGGCATTCCCAAAGGATTCTGGCCCCAGATGAACAAGGTGAATCACACTAGTTCATACAAAAAGAGCAACTCTAAGAACAAAAGAAAGGAAAGTCTCAAAAGGACAACTGTAGAACCTGTGAAGGGAGGCAGCGCTGAGACCATCTTTCCTCACTGCGAACCAGTGAATCTCTTCCATTCACCCCCGTCTGAGCTCCAGTGGGACTGGGAGCTCTCCAGCTTCTCCATCCAACCTTAGGGCTGGCTCCAGAGAAAGCCCAAATGAAACTGTAGGTTTTGTCTCAATTTTGCCAAGACCAGCCCTCGGTGTTTGCTAGTTTGCCTCGCTGGGTGAGAGTGGGAGCTCCAAGCAGAAGGACAATACCTCAAACAGGGTGAGCACCCAACACCAAGAAAGGATTTTATTCAGACTTTTTTTAAGGAGAGCAAAAGAGTTTATAGTCATTGAGTACACCCTCCTCTGGCAATACTTCTCCTAAGACAAATTATTACAAAATCTACATTAACTGTTCAAACTGTTTCCCACAACCAGAAACAGAGTGCATATTATAGAAATAACAAATTATGGGGAGTTTCAGTTTCACTTGATGTATATGAATTTGAAACCTACATTGGTTTACATGAGAGAATGAAAACAATCTTGAGAACTTCAGTGAGTTTAAGAATACATTTTACTCCTCACAACAGGAAGTGGAACCCACAAACTAGTCAGTTTCAAAAAGATCTTACATGTGGTTTTTTTCACTAGGTAAGGAAAAAAAAAAGCCAAGCAACCAGTTGAGCAATTTATAAGATAGTTTTTCGATAGAGAAATTACAACTCATTATCATAATAAGTATCCAGAGCCTAGTAAGATCTTCCCATTGGGATGTTGTGGGTAAAAGGGAAGAATTACTCTAAATTCTGAATTTACACTAACTTGATTCTAAAATATGGGGGAAATTTTTCTTTTAAATATATATTTCCTTTTTACTGGAAAACAGCACTTTTATTTTACAAAATGGTTACAAAAATTCATTTGGTTACTAATCATTTAAAAACACAGATAAACAAGCAAAGGAACCAGTACAAGATATACAAAGGGACCTCCTTTGATGTTGAATGATGATGCTAACACCTAAGTTACAGGGTAATTAGTACAGTGACTTCTAATCTATATAGTAATTGGTAAATCTTGCAGGCACTGTTTACCCCCATGATATATTAAAACTCACAGTAAGATGGTTTGTCATTGCATGAAACTTCATAATGATTCCGGTCTTTAGCAAAATTATACAGTGATATGATAGTAAATGGGCCCTGATTTGTAGCATTTACCAGTTTCCATGGCATGAAGCCTCACATCATTGTCAATTTCAAACTACCAATACTTTAACCAAGCCACAAAATTCCTAAATATTTTACAGTCAATTCCAGCTGACAGAGCCGTTAAGAACATTTCTCCACAAACAACTTTCCCCCACAAAGATCTTTTCTCCTTCCTGGAAAATTAAACTCAACTTTATAAAGGGAATTTTAAAGCTTTCAATTATTAAAATTTTACCTGAGAAAATACATGAAAATCTCGCTTATTTTTTTTCAGAAGACTAAGCACCCTAAATATTAACTTAATAATTCATATGAAAAGAAAATATCCAGTAATGAAAAATGGAGACAGATAATAGACATTCTAATAATAATAGACAGTAGTAGAAAACAATGACAGCTAGAAGATATATATAACGTTTGCCATGTGCCAGGCACTGCCCTGAATCTTTTCCCAAATACCAGGATTGAATCCTCACAATTATTGTGGCTTAGGTGCTATTCTTATCCCCATCTTAAAGAAGAAGCAAATTGAAGCAAATGGATTCAGGATTTTGCCCAAAGTCACAAAAGTAAATGGTAACATGCAGATGTTTATTTCAAGAATAAAACTTGCAAAGTGGTAGCCTCTTACAATATTTGCGTGTTTGTTGTTGTTGTTATAAAAAGGAGTAGGTCAGGGAAGCAAGGACTAGAGTATGAGGGGAAGGAATGAAAGAGGGATGCCTAGGAAGAAGGCAGAGAAGGTGAGGGGGGAAGAGAGAGGGGAGAGAAGGAGCCAGGGAGAGGAGCCAGAGAAAGGACGAAGGGCCTGAGGGGGAGGAGGAGAAAAAGTGAGAATGTAGAAAATGAGGGAGAATGGAATGCCAGGGAAAATCCTGGAGTTTCTAGCTTAAACAATTGAATAAATGACAGCAATATAGACAGCATAGTTTCAAATATACACATTCAGTAGTACATCCAAGGCATCCAAGTGGAAATGCTCTGTACGTATTACACTTAAGGGTCTGGGATTTGGAGAAATTCTGGAATAAGGATATAAAATTGGGAATCATCCATGCATAGAGAGTAGAAACCTTGAGCTGGGATAAGATCACCCATGTGTGTAGAATAACAAAGAATTGAAGTCAGAATCTGAAGGAGGCCCAATTTGTTACACAGAAGCAACGGAGCAGACAATCAAGGAGACTGAGCAGAATAGCCAATGAAAAGATAAAGAAAATCAGGAGAGGGGTTGTTGTGGAAGTGAGGAAGAGAGTCAAAAGAAAGGTGGGTTTAAACCATCAAGTCCCGCCCATATAGAAAAGAAAGATCCACTCTCAGCCCAACGAAACACCTGCCCGTGTGCACAATGCAAGTCACAGACATTTGTGAATTGCAACACGGGGGCGGTGGGAGAGCACAACTGTGGGAAGCTGAATGTGTGTGGGTATGTGAGTGGATAAATACTGTCACTCTCATTCATTGCTGTGCTCTATCAGAACTAGAGCTGCATGGAAAAAAATCTCAGAAACACTATATTGAAAATTAAATGTCTATATTAATGCTATTGTTTACAGTATTGTTAAATATTGCTTATAAATACTAAAATTGCATGGGAATGATAACCATCACAATGTAACCTGGGGTGAATAACAGGGAAATAGTAAAAAGAAGGCATCAGTAGGAAAATGCAAGTGTATTTATGTTTTATTACTTTAAAAATAATATTAAGGGGTGCC